ACACACACACACACACACACACACAGGGAGGGGGGTACTTCATAGCTTCTGCTCAGACATTCTAAAAAGCAGTCCTGCACATTGATATATTGCCATACCAATGTCGACTACTACTACATTGGATCTAAATACCCGGTATCCTTGCTCGTGGTTTAAAGAAAAAAACCGTCTTGAATAAAAACAAAAGAAAGAGCGCTGCGATGGTTGTGAATCACAGAGTTAGTCGCTTTAATCCTACCCTTGAGCACAGTTACTTTTGACATGTCATGGTTTATTTTTCTCGATGACGCAAAATGTTCTCCCATGGTGCCTATCTAAACGTCAACAAAATATAAGTTTCTGTGCTTGAAAAAACCCATCTTGTGGGACTACTTAATCTCTCCGAAGCATCCAAACTCGATTATTTTAGTCTCCGGCTCGAGCAAATGGGACCCGTAGCGACGTCCCCTCCTGTCATCGGCCGAAAACCGCTCCCACGGACGTCTGCACACGCAAAGGAACCGAGCGAGGAGAGCTCTTCAGCGTTTGGAGTTAGCCCAAGAGTACCCGCGGTGCGTGGTAACGAACGACGCCGCTCCCAGCGAGGGGGGCGTTCACTACGCGTTCAGTTGGCTTTCACTAGGAATTCAGTACGGTTGCTAGGCGGACGTTTTGATCGGGCGCTGTATCTTCAGCCTGTCTGTTATGGCGAAGATTATAGATGGATGGAGAAGCTTGTAGGCTTGGACTTTACAGATCATCGCTCTATTCTCCCAAGCGACCATTAACTGTGAGTAGGCTTTGTTTCACTTTCACTAGCAGAGATAGAATCATCGTTGTTTGAACTACGGCCTCTGATACCATCTCAGATTAGTGGAACGATAACTCACACGTGTCAATAACTTCATTACTACGCTCGGCTGGTTCTCAGATAATGTGCTCGTTCGATTATACGTCTCTGTAACAGGAAGCTTGACAGTTTTTGTTACTGTTGCTAATAACGAATAGTCCATTGTTTTTAACGTTCCTTTATTCCTTCGTCTCCTTTTCCTCACCACCCCCCTCCTCTCACCGATAACCTAAAATGACAACATAAACAAAGGACTGATGAGATCCACAAGCAAAACTGTAACTTGAACTGCGTCTGTTACCCAGAGTGTAATCTGATTAATAAATACTTAACACTTTCTGCCATTTCTGTCTCGAATATCACCCGGTATGGCTCGGTTAGAGATAACAAACAATGCTCTGTTCAGAAGCTTTAGAGTACAGATACATTTTTTTTGTCTTTAGAAAACATAACGATCTAACTAGAGGGAAAAATCATGAGGGAATACAAAGGAAATTTTATTTTATTACGTTGTGCCACTTTAAAGATAACGCACATATATTTCCCCCCGTTCATTCGTTTTCCTGTGTTGAATAAAGAATCTTATTACTCGCTTAACTATTTGTTTCGTTAAAATGATTGATGCCTGGGTGGTTCACAGAGGAACCCGATAAGTACCCTTCGGGAAGTTAAATTTATTTATGACAGAAGGCTTTCTAAATGAACGGCCGTGACCTCTGGGGAGAGAGATTGAGCTACTGCAGTAGAATCTCCTTACCATCTTTGTTTCAATTTTATATTATATTTACATTAGATTTTCTCTCTCTCTCTCTCTCTCTCTCTCTCTCT